TATTTTACTTACATGTAAAATTTCATTTATTTATCTGAAATAGTACTCAAGTTATAGGCTTTTGAAAAATTGAAAGTAGAAAAAGTTTCACTTCCGGTTATCGGAAATCGCTAAAAGTTGAAACGTATCTACGATTTTGATATAATACTTAAATATGAAATTTCATCAACCTACATGTAACGGTTATCGTGTTTACAGACAGACAGACACACACAAACACACATACACACAGACATACGGAAAAGATTGTAAAACTATGTTTTTTCGACTCAGGTAGGTGTAAAACGTCGAGATTTGCAAAAATCGATTTTTTTTGCACGATTACATGACTTTCTCTATACTTCGTATATAAGAGAAAGTAAAAATAATCACAATAGTGGTCTATGGTGTGTAAAGCGTAATCTTGTGCTTAAATTAAATAACATAACATCCCCTATCACCACAACACCCTGATTTTACTAATCCAAATTAAAAATCAAAGTGTTTTCTAAATTACTATTATATTTCTAGTAATTTTTTATTTGATGATTTCCACCCTTAATAATACCGGAAGTGTTTGTACTTATTACTCAGATGTAATATTATATTCAACTTTGGTTGAAAAAAAAAGTGCTTTCTGGCAAAACAAATTTGGAACCATATGGAACCAGCTTTTCAAACCTAGTGCTGTGTAGAATAAGGGAGATAATCAACGTGGATTATAAACAATGGGAGGAAACTATTCAATTAAATGTTTTTCGGTTCAAATACATACTTAATCGGTTTGTAATTTTTATTTCTGTATAAAATAGTATATTAAGTACAAAAACTAAATACATTTTTAAACAATTGAAATCTAAAAGACTAATAGTGATTGATCTTTCAGATGAAATAAATCATCAGTAAACAAGGAAAACCAACATCAATTATTATTCGTCTTTGTTTAATATCTGAACTATAAATATATGTAGATAGTCAACTTGACAAGCGTCAACAATTTAACTTTTTTTTTTATATTGAGAATCAGTTTATGAAAAGGTGAAATTTGTCATTTGGTATGTCTATATCAGGGGTCGGCAACCTTTCGAAGCGGAAGAGCCAAAAGTTACAATTTTCAAAATTTCCCTAGTTTTAAAGAGCCACTAACATTTTTTAAATTCAAGTATTTTATTTTTTGATTAAGATTATTAGTATTTGTGCAAGGAGCTGGAGAGCCGCATCTTGATATCAAAAGAGCCGCATGCGGCTCGCGAGCCGCAGGTTGCCGACCCCTGGTCTATATGTGTTTGGTAATAAATGCTATATGGCGTAAGTAATTATTCAGATATATTCTTTTATTTTACTGCAAATGATAATTATAAACCTTGTTATGTTTTTCTAACTTTAAATTATTTCTCCATTTAATCATTGTTCTCCCTTTTTAACGTGGTAATACAATTAAATTTTTAAAAATGTTAGAATCATTTTAAAGTATTGGGAAATAAAAATGAATTATTTTTCTAAAAAAATAAAAAAAAATAAAGTTTGATTTACGTTAAAATTTTGTGGAAAGAAGAGGGAAATAAAATTGTTTAGTAATCAATATAATAAAATTATATATATAAATATATATATATATATATATATATATATATATATATATATATATATATATATATATATATATATATATAATATTTTAAAAAAGAAGAAAAAAGAAATGAGAATTATTTTAGTAATCAATTTAATTGAACTATATAAATATATACATACATACATACATGTATATGTAGATATATAGTATGTATATATAGGTATATATACATATATTTACGTGTGTGAATGGTTGTGTGTTCTGGATGTGTGGAGTAATACAGTGTATGAATTTTTTCCTATTCTAGATACCCCCCCCCCCCTAACCTCCCACCCCCAACCCCTTAAAAAGGATATGAAGACGTTCAACTTTAACCGTTTAATTCAGAAAGCCATTAAAATGAGAGCATCGTGTTTGAAGAAGAAGTCAAGAACAGTCTGAAGAGCAGCAAGCCACGACAGAAAATAAAAAAAAAATATTTAAAAATCAAGGGAGGGCACTCACCGTTACCGAGAAGCGAAACTCCCCCTGAACTCTGACCCGTACACCATGCTGAGCCTAGTCCGCAGTGAAGGGATGAATTTTATTTTTAGAAAACTGATACAAGGATCCAGATAAGGTTTTTAATATGATTTCAGCATACCCAGTAGAGGTCATAGGGCGGTCTTGGCTACGGCATTGCCTTGTTGTGGATCAATGTTGGAGTTTTGTTTGTAAATTTTTGTATCTGATTTTAATTTATTTATTTTTTTCAAAATTCAGACCAAGCGTTGAAGTATTGTATCCACGATTCAGTAGTACATCCAAAATGAAACACACAAACGTAAATATCGTGGTGAGTTAATTTTAACGTCTAGCACGTTTCTAGTTCCTTTTGGTTAAGGTGAAGTTTTGTACGTTGTGTAATTCCTGTTATACGAAATGTGTATTTTCTGTAGGTTTTTTTTTATTTATCTGTGAAAGAGAAACAAATTATTAGAATTATTAAACAATTGATACATTATGTAAAATATGGATACATTTGATTCATTTAAAAGGATAAACATTCGACCGAGTTAAAAATACAAACTATGCAGAGATGATAAAACAAAACAAATGTAAATAATGATTTTGATTTAAATATTTTATATACTTTGGATAAATTATTTAATTTCTGTTATATGTTAATTAATGCCACAAATTTAATCCTCAGTAATTGTGTGGAAATTAAAACAAAATGAATGCAAATGAAATTGATGATGTTTTATATCTTAAATGAATAGGATACAACATATAAAGGTTGTATGATAGGAGATATTCAATGCCAAATATAAAGGGGTCGAGTCGGTAAAGCTCATGGTTGCTTAACTGAAAAGTCTCGAGTTCGAACCATTGGGCAGATGAGGCTCGACAACTGGGGACAGCAACTCTTCTAGGAGAGACAACTCCAAAATCAAACAACTACTGTCTTGTAGTTAGTTCTTGGTTTGACAAAGGCTATGAAAGCAATCCAAAAAAAATAAGAAGAAGAATGCCAGATAAGTCATGGGTAATTTAGAACAACAGTTAGTTTTATTAATATTTATTTTAAACACATCACTTTTCACATAGGCTACTGTTAAGTTTTCTTAAAACATTTATTAAATTTGTAAGAGATCCTGCGTCTGATGACGTCACGAGTGCTTGTTGGATCAAAACGGACGGGTCAGTCGGTTCTGGTAAAGAAGATTAGAATCCCAGGACATATTAAAGGCTGGCTAATAATAGAAATGACACAATGCGGGACAACTCTAGATTTAAGATATCCAAAATGGCTTCTTGGAACTTAAACATATACAGAAGATGGTCATGGTAAGAGTGATTATTAAGGAACACATTTTTCAATACCTTCTGAAATAATGAGAAGAATTGATTTACTAAACTTGATCTTAGTTTTTACACAGGTTACAATGTATAGAGTTATTCTTTTGATCGGTGAATAAATGGAATAATTATTAATTAATTAATTAGTGAAAATAAACTGCTGCATCGAAAACATGGCTATTTTTAGTTAACTAAGACCAAATGTCTACATCAACATTTTGAAAATATCAGACATATTTTGATGTCGCCAGACCTCCATTTAAAATTTCGTGAGTTGTCAATTACAAGAGAACCGGTTGAAGGTTTTAAATTTCACATTATCACTACTGACGTTCTGTCGATGCCTAGTCCATAGATCGGGCGGTATCGAATACTTCTGGGATTCAGGCCACACCAGGGAATCGTATCGATCCCCAGCTAGGAAGATGGCGTGGTCGAGGCGGGTGAGCTGTTGGTGGCTAACTTCAAATGTCCCGAGTTTGAACCAACGTGGACATGAGGTTCGTTAGCTGAAGACAGCAACCCATCCAGGATAGAAAACTCACAAATAAAACTTCTTGCTGCCTCAGAGGCGTAGCGAGGGGGGGGGGGCATATGTCCCCGAGCGCTGACCTTGGGGGGGGGGCAAAATGGGTTTGAAAGACAAATTGAAAGTTTGAGGGGGGGGTGTGCTTATCAAAAAATCGAGGGGGGGGGTGCAAATCGAAAGTTTGTCCCCGGCGCCGGGAAGGGTCGCTACGCCTCTGTGCTGTCTTGCATATAGTTCATGGGTTATGGAAGCAAATCTAGAAAATAGGATGGCATTGAAGTCAACAGGTTATATTGCGCATAACAGGTTGGCACGTAATACTTGTGTTGAGGTATTTCTCATCCAATTTTAAAGAACGAAAAAGAAGAAGAATAGCACAAGGACCAAAGTTTTAATACTGTAGGCACACAATCCTGGCAGGTTTAGGTGAGATTTAACTTGAATTTTACTCGATACTTTTTAGAAAGATGAAACTCACTCACTCGTTTTATTTACGTTACCACGCCCTATGCCATAGCCAGGGCCGACTTAGTAGACAATAGAAAAACATACACAAAGCTGGCTGTTTCAAACGTTTTAAAAACAAATCATTATAGGCGATGGTAAATCCCTAATAAAGTGTTTTGATCCCATTTGCAATAAAACTCTATAGGACGTCCATGAGCCTACCCAGCTCTTAAGAGTACTCATCTTTGTGGAAAAAATCCAGGCGGCTGGGCATAATACTAACCCCCTTACATCTATAGATCCCTATGTCATTTTAACAGATGAACTCTACTTCATCTGCCATATGTGTCTAGCTTACCGACGAGGAGAAAGGATGATTATGATTAATGAAGCACGCTAGTAATTACCACACTATTCAGTCTCTATTTAGTTACACGTGGTGCGGAATTGGTCCTGAAATTTACCAGTATTGCATAAACCCTTCCATGTTTATATAAGGGCTTAACAATTCTTTCCACCCATTTTTTTTGTTTTTTTAAAGCTTACCCCCCCCCCCCCCCCTCACCCAACCCCTTAACCCCCCCCCCCCCCCCCAGTTTTGTTCTTCGGGCTTACCCAAGCGCGGTCGTATCTCCAGGCTAAGTGGGTATCAAAATATACGGGCAAACTCGCTTGTTAAACATTTTTCGATCCCCCCCTCCCATCCGTCCTGATTATAAGACCCCCACCCCTCCTGATTATGACCCCGAAATGGGATGCAATCTGAAGTGCGAGGGGCTCAGGGCCTAAAGATCTATAATGGCGAGTTGAGTTGATTGTGTCGTCTAAAAATAGCACATGCTTGTTTTAACCGGCTAAATATAGCCACGGATTATAGGTTTTAAGAGCCGCTGAATGATGAAATTGCGTGTGCGTGTGTGTGTGTGTGTATTTAACTGTGTATGTGGGTTTATGATGTGTGTGTGTGTGTTGTTTGTGTATGTGTGTGTGTGAAGTTAAGGTAAATCGGTTCAGAGAAATTAAGAGAAGATATTTTCTAATGAGGTGAAGAGGAAGTGACGTCAAATCCTCCCAGTGTTTTATGTAAAGCTGTTTCCCCAATTTTTTTCCTGAATACCTGACGGCCTTTGATATAGAGCTCTTGAGCCAGAGATACGGGCTACAATTGTATGGGGATGTGGGGGGGGGGGGGGGGGGGCTGGTAGATGGAGTCAAAGCCTGAACGAGAAAAGGCCAACCCAGCCAGATTCTAACCACCAATGCATGCTGGGACTTGGTCTACCACGAAACCTTTCGGGGTTGGTTCAACCGCCAACCCATGCCGGGGCTGACTCAACTGCCAACCAGCTTGGTGTTCAGAATAGCAGCTCTATAAGGTATCACGTTCAATTGAGTGGGTTAGGGTAAAGATAGTGGAGAGAATTAATAATCAATTAAACATTAAGTTTGGAAAAAAAATAGCCTCTTTTTTTTTTAATTTAGTCATCCTAACAACATAAAATTATTGAAATTGGTTTTAATAAAATAATTTTAAAAAAAAAGATTAGTGTTTATCAAAACAGTCATGTTGTCTCCTTTTTAATTATTTGTAAAGATTTGTATCATAAATTAACATTAAATTAAAACAAAATGCATTCCTTATGTATCTAAATATCTCAATTGCAGTAAATAAAATTTAAACTTTTTAAAAATTAAATTAAAAAAAATATATATAGTATTCATTAAACTTTCAGATTGTCTCCCTCTGCATTATATTTAAAGATTTGTAAGAATGACGTCCCTTAATCTATACATTAGTTTATCTTTAACATCCTGTTGTAGGGTTCAGTGAATCAAACTTCCTGGTTCAAAGTTCAGAAACTCTTCATAATTTAAATGGCCGGGGAATATTTTTTTTTAAATGCGCGAAAATTGAGAAAATATTTCAAGAACCTTGCCTACTTTATCTTTTCCCTAAATATTTCCCCATATCCCCCTATATTCCCCCATATTCCCCCAACGTCAGGTGAAGTTGACGTCATCTCTTGGTGTCTGACACCTTTCATTCAAGACTCGCCAGCCAGCCTCGCTTTCAGAGCCAGCGTCTTCTTGACGGAAGCGTAAACACATTTCGGGGAGAAAGTGCTCAGCTTTTAGGGTTTGTTTGTGGCGATAGCGACGGCTGGGAGGGGGTGATTGAAGAACAATTTTCTTGTCGAAATTTCATTTTGATTTTTCTTTTCTAGCTAAATTAAAGCTGGTTTATTATTTTAGCCAGATAAATTTACGGGTTTTAGGGTTATTAAATTTTAGAGTAAATTATTCAACTTAGGGAGTCAAGGATGGATGACGTCACACTGATGTGTAAAGAAACGGTTGGAGAGTTTTACAGAAATCTGACGTCATATAAAAACATTGAGTTTACAATAGGTCTAGTTTCTTGTATCTAGGATGGTCCTGTGTATGGCGTCTTGTAAAGTATGTCAAGAGAACAACCTAAATTAACTAAATAAATTAACACAAATTTCAAAACTAGCTCTTTATGTAGTCGAAAGAAATCCATAAGGATCTATGGAATAGTTTGGACAATTATTTAAAAAATAGAAACTGAAAATTCTTAACCGAAACAAAAAAAAAACGACAGATACATTTCTAGAATTTAAATCAAACTAGAATTTCATTTAAGAATGTATAATGTTATAAAAGAAATTCTAAAATTTTATAAGAATAACTAGATGAAAATTTAGACTCTAAATTATTCTAGAAATGAAATTCAGATCAGACAATGTACCAAATGAACTAACGGCTCTGACAATACAATAAACGATCACCGATGTGTTATCCTGTAGGATCATTTTCAGCCAATCAGCAACGACTGTAGCAGTTACTGCATGGCCAGACTGTCCACGCACGGATCTGTACTAAAAGTCTGCAAGTGAAATACGATTTGGTGTCTCCAGTTTTTTTTCTCTCCCCTAGAATAGAGTTACTTCTAATTTATTTCTTCAAACTGGATGAAACTCAAAGATAGGATGTGGACTGAAACTGAGGTTTTTTTTTGTAAGTCCAGAGAGAAGGGTGGAAAATTGTCAAGATGCTGAGAAGTCTAGAGCAGGGACGTATTATATATTCATCGGTTGATGGGTCAGAC